AAGTGACCTCAGCTACATGTACCCCAATTCTAATGTTGACTACCCCAGTTTAAATTAAAATACAAATAAATATTTCTTAAAACATGGGACTCTCACCAGGACACATGCCCTTTCTACACTCCTTTGTTTCAATGCTTGGTCCAAGTTCTAACTTGTCACAGCTTAACCCACCAAACATGGGTGCTGGACTATCACAGCTTCGCTCTCGTTTCTGCACACCATTTCCACAAGTCACTGAACATTCACCAAACGTTGACCAAGGACCGTAGCCACCATCAACTGCACATACATATATTAAACAATTATTGGATGAGGTTTTTGTGATATCCAGAGTAATCAAGGTCAAGCTAGGGGTTATCAGCCGAAGCTAAAGGCTGAGGCTGATAACCCTTACCAAGACCTTGATTATTCTGGATATCACTAAAACCGAATCTAACACTTGTTTTATTATACATTGAACGGAAAAAAAATGGAAATCATGTTTTTGCTTCTTCACTGACAGCAAGCGACACAAAGCGCGCAAACTTGACATGATTACCCTCAGAAATCATGCACTGCGGTCATACGTGTCATGATTACCCATGACCTTGAGTGTCCTTAACATGATTGTGGTATAATCTGCAGCTAGGTGATGTCGCTTGTGAAAAAAGCGTATGGTGGCCTTGTACAGTGTAATATCATATTCTGTTTGAATCCTTTGTTATTCGTACCGGCCAACTATTGTATTTGGTATTTCTAATTACGTGTACATTACTGGACTTGAAATCGTGGAAATTATTTTTAAACTTAGCACTTGCTGAATGCGAAGAGTTGCCAAAAAAAACCTTCATTTAATTTACAACATTTCAAATAAGGTAGCAAAGCCAGAAACGTCGGCTAATTTTGCTGAACACCACAATTTAGCATATGTTAACTACGATAATAAAATTGCACTCCCACGGAGTAGTTATTCATCCACTGGTTCCGGATCAAGTTGGTATTTGGAAGGTGTTTGTTCTAAAACCCGTGTACCCTGGTAAAAATCCTCCATGCAAGAACGAGAACCA